GGGGGGAAACTTTATTCTCTGCCCTCCTTCCTAGAGGAGCATACCCATGACTTCATACACACACGAGTAAGGAAAACTGAGTGAAGAGATTCTGGACTGAGAACATAACCTGGTATTTTCTCCATATCGTGAACTAATTTTAAAGTGAAAATAAATCACCTTGCTGAAGTCAGGTTTTTCTCATTACATGACCCACACCCCCAAAAAACAGGTTAACCTGAATTTTTTGCCCACGTTAGAGTTAAAACAGGAGAGTCAATTTGGAAACACTTCTTCCTAATGTTCTGGGCTGATCATAAGAAAGTAGTTTGTGGTAAACCCAAAACAAATCTAAAAGAATTCACCTCACTTACTGAGCAGAGATAGTCTACACGTCCTGATTCCCCATGAGCAACTCAGGGACACATAAATTCAACCCTTAGCATGAGGGGGACAATTAGGGAACTCCTTTAAAAATGGCAGGGGGGGAGGGGGAGAGAGAGAGAGAGAGAGACTGCCCTTTGTTCACTCTGTACTCTCACACATCAGCATCTGGTGTTTCAGGGAAATTGTTCTAATTTCACCGTCAACTGTCTCTCAATACTAAAAGACAAAAATATGTGAAACAGTAAGTGCACAGGAATATGGTCTGTTAAATCACTCTCTAGAAGCCAGATGAGTTAAACATATCTTTAAATAATTGTTTGCTGGGGAAATATTTTCTTTTCCATTTTCAAGTAACCCGAGCCTAGCTGTAGCTAACAAACCTGAGTGACAGACATTTCCTCCATGGTTCTGGAGATGTTAGGACCACTGTAGAACACAGTTGGGACTTAGACAGTAATTTTAACTCCTGGGAAATAGGTCCCTTAAGTTTCAAATCAATTAATAATTTTAATGCTATAAAAATAAATTAAAATTAAACTAATACTACATGTGGTAGAAGACACATAATTAATCTCTATGGAATAGAATCGGAAACTTTTTTAAATGCCCTAATTAGTGAAGCAATTGTTTAAAACCAAACATGACTCCTTCCAGATTTCATGGTGCTGTATGACATTCCATACTAGGGTCATATGTGTGGGTCACAGGTCACATTGCCATAATGAAGTCACATGAGTGCTTATCATTAATTCCCTCTTTATTATAATATTACAAAATCTCCTAATTTCTAGCAAGGTACAGTGACTAAAGCTATACCAGGATCTCTTTAAAGGCTAGGAAGGTGATACCTACGCATCAAAAAACTATTAATACTTCACACTTCTTGGCATTTGTTATGTGTTACAACCTATTCTAAATATTATACAATATTGACTCATTTCCTCACCATGATAACCAATCAAGAGAACAATCCTGTTTCTAGGTCTCTCTTACAAAGGAGATGATGGAGGCACAAGCATGGTGTTTTAATTTGAATTAAGTCAAAACAAGTGGCAGGAGAGGGCCCCATGCTGCCGTGTGCTTCTTCCCACCCTTATGACTTCATGGGGCAAAGAACAGACTCGGAGCCAGTGCTGAGGCTCAATTTCCCTAATGCACGGGCAATGCTGGGGCCATCAACTGGGACCCCTCCAATGACCTGTTCTAGGTGAACTCTTCTTCTGACTATCCAATGTCAATGTAGGCCACAGTGATCTACTAGTCTATTGTGTATCACTGGGTGTACACAGAAAATTCACAAGCTCTATACGGTCAAAAAATAATTTTTATATTCTAAAATATCAGAGAATATCTTCCTAAAATTGAGGTATCAGAAACAGCACCAAGGCTGAGGAAACATTCTAGTTCTCCATTCCCACATCATCTTCCCCAATTAAATTTAAAATAAATAAATCTCTCATCAGCCCACATTTCATGTATTACTTCCATGAGTTTATAGAAATAACTTGGGGTGATGTTGGTTTGAAGGATGTCTTCAAATTTTCTGGCTTTTGCAATGGAGGCACCTTAGAGACATTCTTCTTTGGTGAAATGTCTATGCAAATATTTTGCCTATTTGACTGCCTCTGCTCTAGTTGTAAGACTTCTTTATATATTAAAGATAGAAACCTTTCATTGGATATATAACTTGTGCCTTTGGATCTTAAATTTATTTCTATGATTGATTTTGAGTTAAATTTTGTATATGGTCTGAAGTATAGGTTTTAGTGCATCTTTTGACATATGAACAGTCAAATACTCTGCACCATTTATGAAATGAAGAGCGCTGGTAGTTTTGTCAGAAATCAACCAAACATTAATCTCTTTATTTTTTCAGTATCAATGGTATTAGATTGATATACACGTCTACCTTACACCAGGACAAACACCATAGTTTGTAACTGTGGTATGAAGTACTGTTCTTCTTTTGTTATGCAGCCTACAGTCCACACAATAGTACCTCAAAACAGAAATTATCCAGGACAATATGTCAACGGGGCTGAGGTTGAACAGCACTGTTCATTATACACTTGACCCTGAACAGCATGGGTTAGAACAGTGTGGGTTCACATATGCACAGATTTTTTTCCTAATAAATAGCTGTACTGGAGTCTATGTATGCTGAAGCCAACTATTTGCATTGATTTATGCCATTTTATACAGGGGACATGAGTATCTCCAAATTGTCATATCTACAGGGGTCCTAAAACCAGCAGATACTGAGGATAGTAGTTAAGATTGCAGGGAGTCAAAAGTTACATGCAAATTTTTCACTAAGAGAAATAGCAGTAGCTTTAGAAAGATTGAATATGAAAGTTAACTGAAAGTTTAAATGCCTTCTTTCTATGCTGCATGATCATTCCCATAGTCTAAAAATTTTTGCATAAAAACAAGTCATAACAAAAGTTGTCTTTATTTACCCAACAAATAATTCTCTTTTTTAGTAGATTGTTTTATTCTTTTTAACTTATTTTCCTAGAGTTATTGAGGTATAATTAACATGTTAAAATTGTATATATTTAAAACGTACAACTTGATGTTTTGAAATACATATAAACTGTGAAATAATTACCACAATCAAAATAATTAACATATTTATCACTTCAGATAGCTACCTTAGTTTTACCCTCTGCAAACTTCAAGCATACAATACAATATTGTTAACTATAGACACTTTGCTGTACATTTTATCTTGAAAATATATTCATCTTTCTTAACTGAACTTTGTACTCCTTGACCCCTCCCAGCTCCTGGCAATCAAATGTTTCTCTCTGCTCCTATGAGTTTGACTGTTTTAGATTACATGGAAAAGTGAGATCATGCCATTATTTGTCTTTCAACATATATTTCTTAACTTTCTACATGTCCCTACTCCGTGAGGCATAGCTGCTCTCTGGTCACATTCAACCGCACTGGGGAGGGGGGGGACCCTGCCCGCAGCTCCCTCGGCTATTCCATCGTGATCTCCCAAGGCTACTAGGGGCAGAGCAGCCCCTCACATGCACTGTCCCTCAGCATGAGAAGCGGCTGCTTCCTGCAGTTGATGATCCTTAAGTAAACTACCTCCTAGGGTGGCCCTTGCACTCTCAGCCTTCCCCAGTCTCATCCCCGCGAGGCCTCCCTTCGGGAGCGAGCCCTGGCTGCCCGCTCGGGGCAGCGGGCACAGCGCGGAGCCAGCTCATGTCCCCGAAGGGCCGCAGAGCCCAGAGTCCATACAGTGAGCCCCGCACGCACAACACCTAGTCACCAGGATTTCCTCACCCAACCATCCAATAAAGAGAAAAGTAAAGAAAACTGCTCACGTGCCAGAGGCAGGGAAAGGGGAGAAACCCCGGGCCTCAAAGACTTCATCTAAACACACGCCGCCTGAGCGCCTTCCTGGGCCCAGCGAGGACGCGTATTTGTCAAAATTTAATCTCAGCATCATGGTGAGAGGTTATCAGCGTTGATCAATGATTAAAACTGAGGAATGAAGACATTTAAATTACTAGTCAAATTTTAAAATTCGGGGTTGTCATAAATCCTGGTTTTCGTAAACTCAAGCCCAGTGCTTTTTCACATTATTACAGATAGAAGGAGAGAAGCTGCATTGAACAAGTAAAGATAAAGCAGAAATTGACATAAACATAATGAAATCAGAAATAAATTTTCAGTGGTGCATATAAACCAGGATTGAATGAAGAAGTGTGGTTGAGACACATGGAGGAGGGATGAAAAACTTCATTTCATCCCGAGCAAAAACACAACAAAGACCATACACAGAGGCTGAGGTCACTGTAAGTCGCAGTCAGCATTTGCTCCACAAATTGTAAAGTAAGCGTGATGGTAAGGAGCGATAAAGTGATTTAAAGGGCCACAGTCAGAAATGCCGCCACTTATAACCATGGCTATTCTATGTATGCATACATTTTATTTACATATATATACGCATATGCACACTGAGAGAACAACAAAGACAAAAAACAGGAAACTAATTAAGTGCAATAAATTTTCCTAAGCTCCCTATACATGGCATGTAACTTAATTTTCTTAATATTTCTGTGATATAATTATTATTAATGTCACTATTTTTTAGATATTAGTCTCTATAGTTCCAAAAACATTAGACCCTGCAATAACAATAACAAAAATATAATAAAGGAACCAAGAAATGAACAACAAAGAGAAGAGAAACATATGGGAGTCTCATTCTGTGCAGAGCTGGCAAAGGTGATTCTTCATTATAAAATAAGAGGCTTTCGATTTTAAAATTAATCATAGTTTCCAAAATGAATCAGAAAGTGTGCTTCTCAAGAGTTCTTCATTAAGCTTATGGTAATTTTACAATGAACTAAATGTGTGTGTCTTAACAGTCCAATCCCCCAAAACATTTAAAACATTGTAGATTGAATTAAAACAAAGATGTAGGCTGCAAACTTTGAAATATATTCAACTGGGCCCTGGTTCTTTGTGGAGACACAAAGAAAAGTGAATGAAAATGAGTCCTAAAGACCTGGGCCCTGCCTGTTCTCTCCACTCTATAACTCTGCGGCCCACCGATTCGCCCCTCCACCAGCCTCGCTGTGAGAACCTGAGTCCTGCTAAGAAAATATTATCTAAGAAAACATTCTGGAGCTCACCACTTTTCGGAAAGCATCTTTCACGTCCCTGTTCCTCACACTATAGATCAGGGGGTTCAGCATGGGGATCACCACTGTGTAGAACACTGTGGCCACCTTGTCTGTATCCACGCCGTTGGCGGAACTGGGCAGGCAATACGTCAAAAGGATGGTCCCGTGGAAGACGGCGATGGCTGTGAGGTGGGAGGCACAGGTGGCGAAGGCTTTGTGCCTCCCCTCCGCAGAGCGCATCCTCAGGATGGTGACAAGGATAAACACGTAGGAGGTCAGGATGATCACCACNGTCACCATGGTGGTGACCTCAATGAAAGTGACCACAATGAGCACCATGAGCTCATTTATAGAGACGTCAGAGCAGGCGAGGTTAAAGATCGGGGGTAGGTCACAAAAGAAGTGGTTAATCACATTGGATCTGTACGATGGGATCTCAAGAGCTAAGCACAAGTGAATCAGAGAGCACACAGTGCCACCGAGGTAGCAGCAGGACACCAGCTCCACGCAGAGACCCCGGGACATGCTGACCGTGTAGAGCAGCGGGTTGCAGATGGCCACAAAGCGGTCGTAGGCCATCACCGCCAGCAGGAAGAACTCACTGATTCCATAGGCACAGAATAAATAAAACTGCACCATGCATCCCAGGAAGGAGATGGTTTTATCTTTGTTTAACATGTTGAACAGCATCTTTGGCACAATGATCGTAGAGTAGCAAAAATCCACAAAGGACAGGTGGCTCAGGAAAAAGTACATGGGAGTGTGGAGCCAAGAGCTGACCTGAATCAGTGCGATCATGCCCAGGTTGCCCAGAACCGTGACTCCATAGATGACAAGGAACAGCAGGGAGAGAAAGAGTCTCAACTCGGGGACATCTGATAATCCAAGAAGAATGAACTCTGTCACAGTGGTGCAGTTTCCCTCCCTCATGTCCACCATCTTCATACTGGACACTAAACCGGGCTGANGAAAAGCAAATGATAAGGTTTTTGTTTGTTTGTTTGTTTGTTTTTAATTTATCTTTATTGTTGAAAGTTCTACAGATACCCTCATTTATTCCCCCATTAACCCCCTCCACCCCGCTCCTGCCCCCTTCCCAGGTCCTTACCTCACTATTATATTAACTTAAGAAAAATATCACATTGATGTCAAACACAGTGTATTTGAAATGCAATTGTCAAATAATTCTAAATGTTCACTGTGTCAGCAGATCTCACTGACCAAATTTGAAGCATCAGCAGAAACCTATATGATTCCCAACTGTTATCTACCACAAGAAATTGAGTTGATGAATTAACTTAGGTGTTTTGATGGACTTTGAAATAGATCCAATGATACACTTTGAAGCCACATGATATCAACTCCAGTTCCCTGAAAAATGTAATAACTTTTTTCAAGCAAAATAACAGCTATTGCGATCCTATATAATATACACTATTTTTTTTTTAGATCAGTCTGTCAGTAGCATAAGGTTTCAGCAAATGGTCATGTACAGTTTCCTCGTTGGGGAGTGTGACAAATCTCTTTGAGATTAGTGGCTCATGAGTACTGTCAAAATTTGGAACTATGCAGAATGAAAAAAAGATTTAAAATATATACTGAAACCCATCATCATTTTTACTTGTCAGTTTAACAAAGTGACTTGGTTAAATATTATGGTATTGCTGAACACCAATAATGACTCAGAAAGATACAGCTCTTGAAGAAATTTATCTGGGTAGCAATTCGGTAACATGTATCCTTAACCCTGACAATAATAAAGCTACCCGATATATTTATGAGCGATTTCATTTTTAGTAAGATGTTATAAAAATTGTTTAATTACATTTACAAATTGTGAAAAATTATATCCAAAGCTACATTGCAGCATTGTTTATTATATTCACAATGAGAAAAAAATAATTGTCAAAATAGAACACTTTTTATACTGTGGTGTGTCATATCTAAAGCAGTAAGTTATCATGTTATATGAAATGATGTTGTGGAGATGACTATTTTTAAAAAATACCCAGTACACTTGGTGTATATATGTAGATTTAAATAAAATGTATATGTGGAGAAATTAATACCTATGGTAGAAATATCATATGTTATCACTTTTACTTGGCTACAAACCTAAAAGATAAATCCTTTACCCATGTTGGGAAAGAGGTAAGTGAAAACTTTCCCAATTCTCTACTGGTTGATTGAGGGAGGTACTTACATTGTATATTCTAAAAATCCAATTTACTGTTCAGACCTGCTCTTAAAGATAAGTCACATGGAAGGGGGGAAACTTTATTCTCTGCCCTCCTTCCTAGAGGAGCATACCCATGACTTCATACACACACGAGTAAGGAAAACTGAGTGAAGAGATTCTGGACTGAGAACATAACCTGGTATTTTCTCCATATCGTGAACTAATTTTAAAGAAGTGAAAACAAAAAACCTTGCTGAAGTCAGGTTTTTCTCATTACATGACCCACAACCCCAAAAAACAGGTTAACCTGAATTTTTTGCCCACGTTAGAGTTAAAACAGGAGAGTCAATTTGGAAACACTTCTTCCTAATGTTCTGGGCTGATCATAAGAAAGTAGTTTGTGGTAAACCCAAAACAAATCTAAAAGAATTCACCTCACTTACTGAGCAGAGATAGTCTACACGTCCTGATTCCCCATGA